AATATATAGTCATTACTACGTCAATATATAGTCATTACTGCGTCAATATATAGTCATTACTGCGTCAATATATAGTCATTACTGCGTCAATATATAGTCATTACTACATCAATATATAGTCATTACTGCGTCAATATATAGTCATTACTGCATCAATATATAGTCATTACTGCGTCAATATATAGTTATTACTACATCATATATAGTCATTACTGCATCAATATATAGTCATTACTGCGTCAATATATAGTTATTACTACATCAATATAAGTCATTACTGCATCAATATAGTCATTACTGCGTCAATATAGTTATTACTACATTATTATACACGTTTGAATATCAGCTATTTTCTGAACAACTTAATCATCCTCTTGTTCTCTGTCTTCAGATTTGCGACTCTGGCCCTACAGGATTATTTTCATTATTTATTAATCTGAAAGTTATTTTCTTGATGTTTGGTCCATTAAAATATCAGTAAACCGTGAAAACTGCTCTTCACGTGTTAATGTTCAGTTCACTCTGTTATTTCTGTGTTTCTGGCTCCTTTTTTCCCTTTTCGCACAAAACTCTATTTACAGAATTTTTACAGTCTTTAAATGGAGACGATAATCAGAAAATAAGCAGTTCACCTCAACAACTTGCAGCAGCTAAAATTCTGCTTTCACATGAATGCAGAAGGGATTAATAATAATCTAATGTGCAATATATATTCACGGGCCGGTTTTCAGCATCGAGTACTTTTAATACCTTTTATACATTTTCCTGATTATATTTTTTCTTAAGTAGCATTTTCAATGCAGTACTTTTACTAGTAAAGTGGGGGGGACACAGGGGCTCAGATCAGGGGAGTGAAGACAGGACAGAGTGTTTTAAAGACATCCTCAGTGCTGAGATACAGGCGGGAAAATTTCATCTTTAAACACTTCATTTCTGCATTCTGCCAAATGTTTCTGCACCAATTTAATATCATCCCTTTAATTAATTAATGACTGGACTCTTTCTAGCTGATCGTTTCTGTGTTTCAGCTCCTTTCACACGTTGCATTTCAGCAGTTTTCTAATGTGATCCTTCTGAGCGGTTTGGTCTGGATCAGCCGCTCTGGTGTATCTGGTCTCACCTCGGTGGAGATGAGTTTCCCACACAGCCGGATCAGAGCCTCCTTGAAGCCGGACACCTGCAGCAGTCTGTTCAGCGCGCAGGTGAAGTTCTTCCTCCGCAGGTACCCGCACACCTGAGAGATCGGCCCGCGGCGGACCCGCCGACCCTGCGGGGGTTCGGTCCGCGCGGAGGGCGCCGGGTCCCGGGACGCGTAGTCATGTTCGTTCAGCGCAGTTCGGAGTCTCCTCTTGAGCTTTTTGGGAGGAGGTGGGTCCCCCGGGGCAGAGGGGGCGGGCCGGGCCGGAGGGGCCGGGCGGGTCGGGGGATGAGGGTCCACATAAACCCGCTTCTTCCCACATTTCTTCGTGTTCTGATAAACGTGTCGGACGCAGGAGAAACAGAAAACGCCTCCTGCGGGTTCAGGTCCGGGAAGAGTCTGTGCGCGCTCCTCAGGTCGGTGATGGATAACAGGGACTTCCGCTTGTAGCCTTTAGCTTGTCTCTGGATCGGAGCGGCGCAGCGGCTGCAGCGGTGCTGCATGTCTCCGCTAGCTGCTTCACGAGAGACCAGCTCCGGACTTTAACGTCCAGAATCTTCCTCTGCGAGCAAAGCGACACCAAAACAAACCCGCCGGGTTAAAGTCCACCTCTTCGGGGACGCTTCAGGCGGTTTCAGGTGGACGTGGACTTGTTGGAAAGTATTTAAAGTCAACTTAAAGAGGAGGAGCGCGGCTGAAATCTGCTCTGAGACGAGCCTGCAGGATCCAAGATGGCGCCTCATTAGAGCCGTGAGCTCGGTGCTGCCGCCAGCGGCCCGGAGGGGAACAACAACAACAACAACAACAACAACAACAACAACACACAACAACAACAACAACAACAACATGTTGTAAATAATACAGCGTAAAATAAAGATGCATTTTTTGTCACTAGTGAAGCATGTGGTGGTCTGAGAACACTGAGCTCACGTCGTCTGGGTTCTTACCTGTAACCAACCGGAAGGGTGAAAAAATAATAATAGCTGATTCCAGTATTTTAGCATTTAGAGTAAATATTTATATATTCATAAAAATATTTATGAATAAAATGTTTGTCAAAGTCTGTAACATGTCTGCACAACACAAACCCGGAGTAATACACACACGGAAACATCTGCACATTGTTCTATATTACTTCTGTTTATTCCATATTTATTTCTTTATGTCAGCTGTATGTTTATGTCTACGTGTAACAACCTGATCACCAAAACAAATTCCTCGTACGTGTGAAAGCTCTTTGTGATGCACATCTTTCTTCTCCCTTCAGGGAAGTTACCAGATGCTGTGAATTTTTGGCTCGGAGAGGCGAGCGCCGTCACGTCCAGTAAGACCTGAACACAACACGCCCGGCTGTGTGTTTAACGTAAACACATAACGTGAATAAATACTGTGTGTGTTTCTGCGTCAGTGCACAAAGACCACTATGAGAACCTGTACTGTGTGATTTCTGGAGAGAAGAACTTCGTCCTGCTGCCTCCCAGACCGCCCCTTCATCCCCTACGGTAACCATAGCAACCCATCCACCGCTAACAGCTCCGTGTAATCCCCTGCTAACCATAGTAACCGTCTCCGTGTGTCAGGTGCGTATCAGCCTGCTGTCTACCGTCAGCGGGACGACGGCGAGTTTGAGGTCGTCGATCAAAGCGACTCTGAGAAGGTGCGTTCAGGTGTCTGTTAATGTCAACGCTCCCTGCTCTATTTAAAACACATTTCACCCTAACCCTCCTCCCGCCTCCCCCCCACAGGTCCCGTGGATCCCTCTGGACCCTCTGGACCCGGACCTTGACCGGTACCCGCAGTACCGGAGAGCGCGGCCGCTCCGCTGCAGCGTGAAGGCCGGAGATGCTGTACCTGCCGTCCCTGTGGTTCCACGTCCAGCAGTCCCACGGCTGCATCGCAGGTACAGACACCTGAACGCACCACAGGACAGGTTTTTACCTCGTCCACACTCGCTTCCTGTTTTGGAGCCGGTGTTACACTGTATTTGGTGACCCGTCAGGTTCTGTGACCTGCAGGAAGAAGTACTCGGATCCGAAGTACTCAGTTTAAATACCAACCACAGATGGTATAAGCGAGGTGGGCGTAGCCGCAGTGACGTCACCGGCTGGTTTGTGGACTACTGTTTTTGTTTTTAGAAAACCAGACGTGACCATATTTGGACTTTGAGGGCGGCGCTAGCTAGCTTGA